CTGAACTCCAGTCTCTGATCCAGCACGGCCATAAGGCCTATTCTGGCCCTGGAAACAGTCTTGTTTTGGGAAAGCAAATTATTTGTTGTAGGAAAGAAAAATGATTTGTTGTAACAGAATGCTTCAAATAACAAAATAAAAGCAATCAGAATGTAGAACAATTATTTAATTCGATCTATGTGTATTTTAAAATTGAAGTAATACTTGTCTCCTGTTAATCAGCCTGTTATACAGTAGTGATATAAATGATGCTGTAAATGTGTAAAAAGTAGTTTCTTGTCCATTGATGAAATATGGACAATGTATTTCTTATATTGCCCTGCCCTGACATTGATCTGAGCTATTACTATATTTAGCTTTGTTGAATTTTCTGAATGTGTCCTTCTGAGCTTTTAAAATTGATATCTACTTCAACAGAAGACCAAAGTATAACACATATCTCATGAAAAATCTGCCTTTCTAGAAAATGCCCATGCTAGTTATCTGACTGACCTGGGTGATAATTTGCCAAGGAATGATATAGATATGCTTATCACAATGTGTACAAGTTGTTCTGTGGCCTAAAAACTTCTTCGAAGAGTGAATAAAAATTAACATGTGTTGTTACTCTTGACCACTGTTATGAGTTACTTAGATGTTGATATTTATCAAAGAATTGCAAAAAAAGCTCTGGTAATTTACTCAGGAAATCTAGTTTTTATTTCCAGTGCTTTACAACTTGAATGGAAATAATGGTTTTGAAAAGTGATTCCTTAAAATTAACATGTATGCCACTTTTTGTAAAATTGTAGTACTATCATTCTACAATTTTTGGAGATGTTCTTGGCAGTCTAGTTCTTGTACCAACCCCTAAGCTAGATAGTATATTCCTAATGACCTTAGGGTAAATTGACAGCAAAGGTTGAGCCATGACTATCAGTGAGATACATGATTAAAATCTGGTTTACTGCAAACCTCTAACTTACTCCTTGTTGCTGTGAAATGTAGTGAGTTCTGGATTATGCACAGAGGACTGCAAGAGTCATTTGGGTAATGAGATCAGGAAAACAGAGAAAAGCAATATTCCCTGTTTGTCATTGGAGGTATTATGCCAGCTGCCATGCATAATCTGTGAAAATGGAACAGGTGCTACTCAAAGGCTTCCTTCTCTGCACCTTTTGTGTACTACTGTTGTAAAACCTCAAAGGGATTTTGCATTGCTAGTTTGCTCAAACATGTTTTTATTTTATTCTGAGCTTTACAATTTAAATTAGTTTAAGCATGGCCTGTAGACTGTAGTCTACCTAAGCTATTTTTGGTCAAGAAATGTTGAATATGAATCCTGAATAAACTCAGGTAACATTAAATTAAAAGAAATTAGTCATCACTCAGGAAAAACAGAAAGCTGAAGTGAGATGAATGGTGTCTTGTTATGTTTTGCATGTGACTTTTTGAGGTTTAAATTACAAAAAAATAGTTGTAACAACTACTAAAACAACATATTAGCATTATTCTCTCTTTTGTTGTATATTCAGGGAAACTTTATGGTGGTGGAATGTTTGTAGAGGAGCGACACAGGCATCGATATGAGGTAAACACTGCTAATGTATTTTGTGCTCTAGAGTTAAAGCCTGAGCAAATTTTTTCTCTTGATGTAGGCACTTTTGTCCTTAAAGCTAATGGGAGATTTCTTACATAAACATAAACCAAAATTTAGTGATGGTTAGATAGTGTAATTTAGATTGAAAGGAACATCTCTAAGTCTTTTGTTCCAATTCCCTGTTTAGAGATGATCCAACTTTTAAATTAGATCAGGCCACTGAGGATTTTGTTCCATCTAGTTTTGAATCTCTCTCAAGAGAAATTCATGTAGAGAGTCATGTCTGTGCATCTCTTAGCAGAGTCTGTCTCAGTTTTCTCTATCAGATAGTTGAAGACAGCCATGAGATCTACTCTTTGCCTTCTCTTTCCCAGGCTGAACAAATCCAGCTCATCTAGTCTCTCCTTCTATGTTGCATGTGGTCCAGCCCCTAAACATTCTGGCATTGCAGTGCCAGAGATTATGTGGCTTGGCTTCCTGTGAAATCTGAAGGGTAAAGGTTTATAATCCTTAAATGCACTGGCCAATTTGGCTTATTTAAAGGCTTAGATTATGTTTGGATAGTGCATGTTCTTTTATGGTCTAAATGTAGGCAGACTTTAGTCAGCCACAACTCAGAGGCTAATTCAGATCACTTGCTCCTACCATCCCACTCTGTATGTCCCTTGTATAGGTCCACTCCTCTGTGAACGTCTGAGGAAAGGTGTCTGAATACTTTCAAAATATTGTCATTCAAGGAGACAGGCAAGAGATACTCCTTGAATTATCTCTGAGATAGTCCAAAAGGGACCCAACTCCTTCAATGTCTCCAGAGGGGCCTGAACCAAGAGATACATGTGTGTGCTGTAACTGTATCAGACAATATTAAGTTTCTTTAAAAGGTGGGAGGAGAATGTGATGGTTGTAAATGTGCTCAAGTTTGAATCTTAGAGTGGTTAGAACATCATCAAGGAAATGAGCCAACTCACCACAGAACTCTTCAGTTTGAAGGAGGAGCTGAACCATAGCTTGTGTCATAACCACTGAAATGCGGTGTTCAAAGAGGAGGTTGGTCTCTATGCCTAGTCCAGTGGGTCACTTAAGAAAGGAAGAGTGCAAGCTACTCAGAATCAGAACAACAGTAAGCAGAAAGGACCCTGGCTTTAATCTTTTGAATGTTACATAATAACTTTTAAAATTACTGATTCATCTCTTTATTTAATAAGCATGCCCACTTTTATAAATCTATACCAGAGAGTTGTTAAAACAAGAAAGCAAACATTCACAACCCTTTCCCAATTCCTTTCATTCTTGTATGCATACTAAAAACATTATAATTAAGTACTACTCTTTGTTAAATCCAAACATAAATAGAGCTGCAATTATTATTACTTTGAATATTTCAGGTGAACCCAGAATTGACTCACTGCTTTGAAGAGAAAGGTTTGAAATTTGTTGGCCATGATACGGAAGGGAACAGAATGGAAATTATTGAACTGGAGAGTGAGTGTTTCATTGTTTGTACTATTTTTTTGCATTTGTTGAAACCATATAAACTATAGGTTGTTAAATGACATGTAGGCACACTATTTAGCTGTCATAACAGTCAAGATTGTGTCGGGGATACTTTTGACTCCATCTGTGTATTATAATGGGTGAAAATTCAGAGTATATTAGGAAGTGTCTTAACTTTGCAAGGATTATACATGTATTTGATTATCAGAGACAAACGTGCTGCTTTCCCAAAAGTCATAATTCTAGCTCAGGGGGTTTTGGTTACGTAGAATCATAGAGTGATTTCAGAGGTCATCTAGTCCTGCTAAGTTGTCTCTGCTTCAGCACAGGCTTCAAATATAGGTCAAGTTAAGAGTTGTATCAGTCAAGTTTTGAGTGTCTCCAAATATGCTGTTGGTTGGACTTGAAACCACTCACCACTACTCTTTGAACCCAGCAGTCTGGTCATTTTTTTAACATGCTTTGTGGTGTACCCATAGCCCAGAGCTTCCAACTTGGATGCCGAGAAACCATATCAAAAGCCTTGCTAAAGTCAGAACACAGGCTACTGCTTTCCTTGCATTCAACGACATTGTTCTCAAGCTTGTTGTGCCAAACTCTCTTCTTGTCTTTCATGTGTCTGGAAATGCCTTAGAGGAGGATTTGTTTCATAGTCTTGCCATAAACTGAGGTTAGACTGACTGTCCTGTGGTTCCTTTGATCCCTCTTTTTGTCCTGAAGAAGGACATGGTGACTGCCTTTTTCTAGTCATCAGGGACCTCTCATGATCACCTTGACCTTTTAAAGATAAAAACCAGCTTCATAATGACATTGCCCTACTCCCTAAGCACCCTCAAGTATTCCTAGTCAGGTCCCAATAACTAATATGTGTTCAGTTTGCTTGAGGATATGAAATGTGTACACATGCAATATAGCCAAAGTAGAGAACATCACTAGAGTATATTACCCAGAGAGACTGTGGAATCTTCATCCTTGTAGGAGAGACCTTCAAAACTTGACTAGACAAAGCTGTCAGCAACCTGATTTAACCTTGAACTTGTCCCTGCTTTGAGCAGGAGGTAGAACTACAGATTTCCCAAGGTGCCTTCCAATAGCTTTATGTCTCTTTCAGTCACCCTCTGGTTAGAATCATAGGAAAAAAAGAGTGAAAATCAAAGAGAAAGCAAGCTCCTTTCTTTCACAGAAGTGATTCAGAGAGATGAGGGTTTGATACTTTGAAAATCTAGTAGATTTGGACTTACTTTACCAAGTAGGACTTACTGTCTTTTCTAAAACATTCTGAAACAAAAAGGAGCTATGCTGTCTATGTTTGTTGAATGATACACAGAGTAGCTTTTCAAAACAAACTTACTGATTTTGATTGTATATTTGATTAACTCCTTGCTGTTAAGTCACTGTTGGCTAGATGAGTATCAGGCACCTGAAGATGCAGGCTACTCTACAAGATCTTTTCCTTTTCTTTTCTTAATGTCATTGGTCAACTTCATGCACAGAAACAGAAATTCATCATAAGAATACATTCTTGGCCTATGGAGTGCTATTTGTGGCATGATGCTCTTGTGAATTTATTTTATATACTCCATGGTATGTTGAAGTACAGTGCTGTAATTTTCAACCAGGTGTGGAATATAGACACCTACTTAGAATGTAAAGCAACTGCACCATAGTCATCTGAGAGCAAAGGATACATGTGAATTCATAATCTACTAATTGACATGGATGTTCTTGGCTTAGTTTGTTCCTGATAGATGAACATGTTACACATGCTGCAACTGGGAGGCTGTTTTGTCTGCCCTGCATGAAACAGCTTCTATAGAGAGCATCGTGAAATAAATCAGACAGAATTTTGAAATTGCATGTTACTGTGAAAAGGAGAAAAGCAGCAGTAAAGCCGGGAATTATGTCACAATGGGCTGCAAGGAGACTCTGATTCCTAAAGACAGTCATCATAGGGAGTAGGGTGGGTTAGAGCAGGAGCATAGAAATAATAGTACTCCAGATATCTTAGGCAAAGCTTTTGAGCAAAATATCCCCACAGGAAATAATTGGTGCTTTGTCATTGAAGATGTGGAATAAATTTAGAATCCCGGTTCTCTTAAGATATTGCAGCAGAAAGGAGTTTACTAGACCATTTGCTTCATCTTCCTAGAAGAAAACCCCCAATTTCTTCTTATCACTTACTGTGTACTGCAAAGAAATTCCTTGAATGTTTAGGATTATTTCAGAAATTGTCAAACTAGAGGAGATCTTTAGTTAGTTTTGTCCAATGTCCTGACACTAAAGTGGTTAATGTTAACTCCTTTAACACAATATTCAGAGAAGGAACACGTGCTCAGCATGGAAGAGTACAAAACATTCTTCCTACTTTAATCTTTTGAAGAAGACAGAAGGGTAGCAGAAGCAGCAGTATGAAGGTGCTTTGAGTGGGAAACAGCTGAAGATTTAAGAGAAGTTGAAGCAGCCTACTGTTCTGAATATATGTGCATAAATATATATTATAAAGCAAAATATTATGAAAATAACATGATAAATATAAACTTGTGGCTGTCCTTCCCTTTCCTCTACCCTTACATGTTGGGACAGGTTTATTACTCAGCTCTTATTTGCATTATTGTTCATGTTAAGGTTGAATCATAGGATGATTTTTCCTTTATTTGCCTTACTAACCTTCTGCCTCTGTTGTCAGTAGCATTTTGTGGGAAAAAGTTAAGTTTCTTGCGGCCTCACCCTTAAATTCACACGTGCTGATACTGTTTCTGGACACCTGACTGAAATATTCAATTATCTTTTTTCCTAACAGTTTTTCTACTTTCTTTCTACATCATGTAATTTTCTTTGACATCTATCTTGTAGATCACCCATATTTTGTGGGAGTTCAGTTCCACCCAGAGTTTTCTTCAAGACCTATGAAACCTTCACCTCCATACCTTGGACTGTTGCTAGCTGCAACTGGGACACTCAATGCATACCTGCAGGATGGATGTAAATTGTCTCCAAGGTAATCTTTCTTTCTTACTTGCCTACAGTTTGACAGTCTGGAGGGACTATACTATCCTTCAATTTAGAAGTCCAGAAGAGGAAAAGAGTTCTTCATGTTTGGATTTATTTGTTGCTGTGTGTGCCTGTCATAAACCTTGGTGTAAGATAATCTGTAAGCAGTAAGCACAGTTCCTGATTTCCTCCTTTTCAGAGGCTATTAGGGCTAAAGCTAGAATCCTACATTATAATCATAAAGAAGGTAAAAACCTTTAGTAAACTCACATGAAATTAGTGGCCTCCTGTATTAACTTCCATTGAGTAGCTTCATAGGGAGAGAGATTTCCTACAGGATTGTGCAATGAAGTGAAATTCTTACCTAGTTGTATTTGAATTATGGCAACAGCAACAAAGAAAACACTGATTTTGTTTTGCAGTAGGTAAATAATGAATGTCATATTGCAGAGACAGGCCTGAAACAAAACAGTAGAGATAGCTTTAGGTCAAAACTGTTTCAGCCAAACTAAAATTCTTTGTCCTAGTTCCCTTGCACACAGAGGTGTTGGTTTATTGAATGCAGCAATATTTTTTATCCAGTGTTAACTCATTCTTGTTCATGTCAATGATATTAATAACAGTTACAATTTGCTTATAATAGCAATAATAAAGAGATCAGAAGGAAGCCTAGGGCACAATAACAAAAATGAAAAAAAATCATAAAATGACTGAATAATAACACTGAACAGATCTAACTCTGGCATGTTGACTTTCCCTCTAACAAGGCACCAAACTTACTAGTTTTGTGTGTTGGGATTTTGGGGTTTCTTTTTGAGTGTTGTGTTCTATTAAAATGAGATCCTTTTGTTAAGTAAGAAATAGAAATTTTATTTAGGTTTGCGCAGTAATGGCAAATACCAAACCAGACCAGTCCAATCTGTTTTGGTACTCTACTCCTTTTTGGGTATCGGTTACCTTTATAAATGCACTTCACCTTTGTCCACCCTGTGTGGTTGTGCAATGATGTATGTACAAAGATAATTAATTTCTCACTTGCAAGATATAGCTTGATTGAAAGACTCCTGTTACCTTAGCCTGTCATTGTTATTAGTGGTCATAACATTAGCTACCTCTTAAAATCTGTGCTGGTGCAATACACAGGTCCAGTGTTTGTGATGCTTGGCAAGGGGAGTCTTTGAGCACAGTGATTTTCAGTCTTACCCTCTTGTGGGCACTCTGCCTCACACTTGATTTTGCTTCCCAGGTCTCAATAGCCTTTCATATACTGCTTTGTCCCATAAGTAAACTTATTTATCTCTCTGAGATCAGAAAGAATTGCCTTTATTTTTAGTGAGTGATCTGCAGATCTCTTGTTAATTTAAATCCCTTAGCATCATAGCAACTTCGCTATCTAATCTTGACTGCAAGTATAAGCTATTAGTGAATGTACCACACCTAGATTTATTTGAATTAATCATTAAAAAAGTAACTATTAAAAAAAGTATACCCAACTCTTTTTCTTCTTGTGCATACAGTAAACTCCAACCAAACCCTAAACATCTAGCAAAGACAAAAATTCATACCCCAGAAATTTATGTATAAAATTACAAATTTTACCATCTACCTAGTTACACAGCAATTGAGCAAAACCCTGTGTCTTGAGAAAGATCAGAGTAGAAAAACGTTTTGAGGCTTAAAGAGGAGTATTTTGCAGGGAAGAATACTCAGGAGGGATTCTGCAGTGCTAATTTTGGCACACCCACTCATATTAATATATCTACCTGCTGAGTGGATATGTTAATGGAAGGATTTCTGATGTAAACCTTTAAACCCCAGAATGCTAGTGGTTTCATTGAGCTGTAAAGCTGAGTCATGTCATAGCACAACTGAAACAAACCTGAGGACAGGAATTTCTGCACACCTCATCCAGCACTGCCTCCATGAGTTGTAGTCATGCTGTTGACTTGATCAAAGACATAACCTGAAAGAGAATTTATGGAGGCCAAAAAGTTGAGCAGATTACCTAAATTAGGCTATTGTAAATGCTAAAAAGTCAGTTAATGGTGAAGTTCTGAGAATAAAGGAAATACATATTTCAGCATGAGATTCTTAACAGGGAGTCATTACCTCAGAATATTTAACAGCCCCATAATTAGGCTGCAATCTTAGAACATCTGACACCTGGACAGAAGCCCTAGCTTGTAACCAAAGGTAATAGTAGATTTAAAGATGCATCACAACTCCCAGGAGAGTGCCCTAAATAAATAAAAGTGAATGAGTGATCCTTCACTTAAATTTTTGTGAGGCATAGTCTGGTAGAGACATAGGCACACACAGGCAGGAGCACACTTAGTTTGAGACTGGAATGCATCCTCTGGGGTAAACTTAGTTCCCAGAAGCTTTGGTGGGTACAGAGACAGTCAAGAACTGAGCAAAGGATCAGAGTAACTCAGTGATGAATTGCTACTTAGTTACCTGAATTGGGCGTCTCAGTTGCCTTTGTGCTTTTAGCCTCTTGTGCTTCATGGCATGAGTGTCTAACCATCAGACAAGGCCACGCACTGCATTTCCTAGTGAATGGTTTTTAGATCATGACCTTTTCCAGATCTTTCCATAGAAATACTGGTCACCATTTCATACAGAGGTGAGGAAGGTGGGAGGCTGCAAGTTTACATGTTTCATTTTAAAGGACAGAGAAAACCAGAGCCACATGAAGCTCAAAATGAACAATACCCATAAATACACTGCTTTATAAGAAAAAACAGAAGGTTTTCTTAGCAAACTAGTGGATGAAGAGGGGAACTTTACATGTAATGTTGTTGGATTTACAGAGTCTTACATAGTTGCTTTTAGAAGAAAGCCAAGCTGGCTTATCTTTGGGAACAGTGTAATATGGGTTGTAAAACCACTGATGTACAACAAAGAGATTTTGCTGGTTTGTTTTGATTTTGGCTTTTTCCCCCTGTAGCAAGTTTAGCATCAGCAGGTTTTATTTCTTCTTTCCCCTCAACCAGCACCTTTATTAATGGCCTGCAAGATAAGTCACAGTGCATTAATTATATTTGCAAATAATGTCATTTAAATAAGAGCCAAAAGCACTATTCAGAAGAAAGAAAAAACATAAAAATATGTAGAGAATTTAGCAATCTGCGCTGAAAATATCTTTGGAGGAAGAGGATAACAAGCTAAAGAGAAATAATATAAATAAAAGTCCAGTAGATGGGAGGAAATGTAGGAAGTGAGATATGTTCCTAGGTGAGAAAGTGTGGGCAACTATCAGTACTGCCTAAAGAAGTTTTTGCAAATCATTAGTGAATATGCTAATGTGAGACACCAATCCCATGCCATCTAGTCATAGAGTACTCTGTTGAGTTCTGGGCAGGTTATTAATAAAAGATGACTTATAAGTTGTGTTCAGAGACAAGGGACAGAAATGGCCAGAGGACAGAAGGAGTGGTGCATTAAAAACCCACCAGTGTGGTGCTTAGTGCACTAGCATGGTCCAGCTATCTCCCAGATCAGCTGTAGAGAAAAGTTTGGGCTTGCAGCTATGAACAGAACTTCAAACAGCCTGTGTGACATGTTCTGATGTATATGGGACAAAGGAGGTATGGGCAGGGCTATCTCTGATGACCCCTGTACATTGTCCCCAACCAAGAACACATCTGGCACAGCATCATATTTCTGCCATTGGCCAAATCCAGAGGAAAGTGAAGGAAGTGTTGTGATTTGAAGATTATCAAGAGGCCAGCAAGAGAGGGTCTGTCCACAAAAGACAACAATCTGAGAGCCAGGGGTGTCAGCTGTCCTGGCAGGGATAGTGTCCTCACCAACAGGAGTCAGTATCACAATCACCACAGAAGGCAAGTAGGCTGACTCCAGTGGGAGTTACCATTGGAGAAGGCCCCAGGTGAGGAAGGTCAGGGCAGCAAAGACCTGTTGTTAACCTCAGAACTCTTACAGGAAACTACAGAAAAGTTTTAAAGGAAATGCTTTTTCATCCATAGTGGTACTTAGTAATGGCTAGTTATGTCTGTTACTAAAACCAGGATAGTCATTTAAATGTTAGATGTTACAGTGAAGACCCTTCTGAGCTAGACATCCCAAGACTTTTTCTGTAGTCATTGAGTAAAAATGCACTTGAAGGAGCCAAATAGCTCATTATAATTGTTGTGTGGGTCACATACACATTTTATATGCTGCAAGTGCCTGTTTCTCTCCACTGCTTGTAAGAAGTTGGTGGTAACTCTCTCAGATGAAGGTGTTGTTCTAGGCCCACTTACGTGAGTGCAGGTGTCTGGCAGATTGGGACTGGGGAGCCTTGGGTCTGTGCTGCAGGATTCCTTAATGAAATGCTGTTTTGTGGAAGCACAGGATTGTATAATGATGACCATCATAATAAATGATGTATGATAACTTTTATGTTCATATAATGATCATAAAAGTATGCACCATGGGTGGCTGCAATTATAACCATTGCACGATCAAATGTGCATTTATTCTAAATAATGTTTTGATGACTATAATCATTTTAATCATTCAGCTTTTTGGGGGGGAATAGATGATAACTATTGACAGATTTCCTTTTGCAGGGTTCTTGAAAGCTAAACAATTGTTTGTTTTAAGCAATCACGGCCTGTATTAAATGTAATTTACATTCATCTTTAAGTTGCATCGAGGAAGAAATGCCCTTGGCTTGGCTCCTGCCTTTGCAGGGCGTAGCATTAATGTAACAGTTGTTTGAATTGCTGACATTTCTGGAAAAGGAGTTTTTTGTCAATTGTACATTAAAATTCAATGAAAAAAGCTCTTCTGAAACTGTGTCAAATACTTTATTTCTAAAGAATGTTGATCTGGAATTTCCATGTGAAACAGAATTTTCAAGGAGTACCTATTTTACAGTTGCCTGTTTATTAATGAAAACATTGAAAACAGGCAGGTTGGTGCTTTTGTGTGCCTGCTTGAAAACTACAGGTTTAAAATGGATTTTGAGTCTTAATTCTAGGGATTTTGCAGCTGAGATTGGTTGCTGAGGTAATGCATTCCAGCTTCATGCTGCATGCTACCAGCAGTGCTGCCTTCCATACCATCAAAGTGGCCAAAATTCTTCATCTTAGAGACTGAAGTGACTGACTAGCTGCAGTGATACTGCATACTCTGGTTTTTTTTTTTTTCTTGGCCACTACTTTATACTCCAGATCTCGCAAAAAAAGTAAAAATAGAGAAAAATAGAACTGCTGGGGTTTCATCTTAAGTCTGGTAGCCTTAAATCTGCTCAGTAACTCTTTTTTTGTTTGGGGTCCACTGTTGTAAGAATTGTTACAAACAAGATGAAGTGAGTGTCCCGTTCCTGCCCAAGCTAACTACTAATTAATATATACACAAACTGAGAGAAAACTTGCTGAAGGAAATAAAAGCATATTTTTTTCAGTGGTGGGCTCAGCATGAAAAATAGTTTCTTAAAGGAAAACTGAGCTTATTTTATTTCTCGCCACCACCACTTTCATAGCCAGGAGATTTAAGTAAGGTCACAAAATATTATCAACTGTGAGCACAAAGCATCCAACTGTCTTTTTGATTTTTAGTATCTGTGTAGCTACCCAGTATATCTGGGAAGGAAGTACACATTTATTCCAAAGAGAGGTGATGACTTGTTTGTGGTTCATATCACAAACTGGACACCAGCACTGGTTTGAAGCTGTGACATCCAGATGTGATTCATGAGTCCCTGTTTGCCTTCAAGTCCACTGGCAGCTTATCTCTTGAAGTTGAGGTTTCCTTGGAGCCCCACTTGTTTTTGTTAGTATGATGCCATAGTTCCTGGGAGTGCTTGGAGATATCATTCAAGTAGCTGAAACAGAGACTGTCAGTTATCTGTATCTGAAGCCCAAGGCCTGATCCTTACCTGGGCATTTCCCCTACCTTTCTTGTCCCCTTTAACTCTTTGTTAGTGTTGAAGCTGACTTATACCCAATAGAACAGCCCTGAAGTAGGGCAGACTGTGAGGTGTTACTGCAGAAGTCAAGAATGTGAGATGAGAGACCTTCTCTGGAATGTGGTGTTAAATCTTGTGCTGAAATTGAGCAGTGTGGGAACAGGAGCCAAATTGTCATCAGCTGAGTAAGTGTTTTAGCCTCTGAGCTGATGGCTAGCCAAGTGACCCTCAGCTTCTGCAAACTGGAAACAGGCTTGAGAAGCTGGGGTGATATGTCAGTGAAATGATGGAAGCATCCAGCCTTGTGTGACTTGCTTCTATGAGCGAATGTCTCTAAAACCTGTCACTGAGTGGGAAAGGACCTACAATGAGAGTCCTGAGTGAGGATCAGCACCTAACTGCCTTCAGGAGACAAAGCTGGGCAGTTCTCTAAAACCTCACTGGTTCTCGAGCGTTTTTACTTAAGCAGCTGCTTCCCATACTGTATTGTATGCAGAGCTCTGGCATGTTTTTGGGCTGTGACTGCCACTGGGCAGCAGAGCTAATTTTAAAAAAAAAGTTCTCTGAAGACTTTGGGCTTAAATCTGAGCTGTCATAAGACTGTGCAGCTCCCTACAGTCATGAATGTTCTGTGAACGCTATTTTGCTGTGATATGCAAATGCAAAACTGTTTTAATAATACTGAATTTTTGTTCCATGTTTCCATGGATACTTTCAGAAAAAAGTAAGTACAACGTCTGTGATGTTGTGTTTGTCTGTGTGCATCTGGCATGCTTGATCATACTGTTAACAACACTTCCCTCACTTGATCTGTGTAATTGATTACCAGCTGGTGAAATGATCAAATTGAGCATTTCACACTAGCCTGATATGACACACTCTTTATCAGAACTGCATCAGCAGTGTGTGTACCATGCAAAGAACAGGCAGAATATCTGCACTGTCTTACAGAAAATATGGTACAGTGACTTGCTGTAACTGTGGGAGGCTTTCCTAACAGTCAGAGGTACAAATTACATGAGATGACTGCTGGTGCCATTCCTCCTGTCACACTCTTGTTAAAATGGCTGGGTTTTTTTACCTATTCTTTCTTTGGTTTTTCTTTTCACTCAAAGAAGAGAGGGTGAAATTCAGGCTACAAAACGGTGCTCAGTAGTAAGTACCAGTATAGCTGAGTGCAGTTTGTTCACTGTTCCACACTGAAGTCTTGATGAAAGATCTCCAGCTGTGGGGGCACATAGTTCCCCTAGAAACATTGCCCTAGTAAGGCTGTGTCTAGGTGGGTCATGGGCTGCGTCTGTGCTTGATGTCTCAGGAGTAGGTCATCCCTAGAGGTGGGGAGCATGACATGACTGAGATCCTGTTGGCTGGAGGATGAAGTTGTTTGTACTAAGACTGAGATGTGACAAGACAGGTGTGCAGTGGCTGGTGTAGAGTTGGTACCCAAGGCTGTCACAGTGTACCCATACAGATGAGGTTTGAGATCCCCACCTGTACTGTGTTAACCTGTGCTCTGAAGTGTCACAGGACTGGCCAGAGTGCTCAAATGTACTTGTCAGTTCCCTGGGCTCCCTTTGCTGACTTCTGGTCTTGGGAAATTCAAGTATCTGGAAAATAGACTGTAGAAGTGAAGTATAGTAGGGGAGGTTGAGGCTTGAGGCACTTCTGAAGTGCACTTAGAGTTAAGATAAACCTGGAGACCCAACAGAGGTACCAGCTGACTGAAAATGTGGTTCTGTGGGCACTTCTTTCTCTCAGTCACTGTGGTGATTCCTGTTCTTCACTGTTTTCCTTGTTCTGGCCACGTATAAAACAATCACTTGCATGGCAGTTTGCTCTGTGAATACCAGTCTGCTTCTCTCAGGAAACAGCAAAAGGGGATAAAACCTAGGGAAAAGCTACAAGGATATTGCTTGGTGCAATGAAAATGATTTATGTTCCTACTGGATGAACAAGAATTGTAATTTAAGTGTAAATCGAAGAATTCTGAGCAAATTAAGTTATCTTAACTTTTTGTTTGGTCAAAACAATAATTTTTTTTCCATAAAGGAGAAATTTATTTTATTCCTGTTCTGTAGACTTGTTATTCTCCATGTTGTTAGTCATAATCATAGGCACACAGCACCAGCAAACTGTACAATAAATGTACAGGAGCCAAGCAAAATGAAACTGAACATACCATTTTTCACGTAGAATATTTTTTTCTCAGCAGGTCTTAGACTCCAAACTTAAGCCCATTCCTGTAGAGGAAGATGTTGTAAAATACTGTGTTTTAAACATGAGCTTAAAGAAGTTTTCTAGAAATGGATTGCATTTGAGGAAAGTGTTGATCATGTGCATCATGGGTTGGAGGGTTTGAAATAAAATATTTGGTTTCGATTCTTCTGAATGCTTATTGTTTCTAACAGTGACAGCTACAGTGACCTAAGTGATGACAGCTCTCCAGAGAAAGAGTTTCCTCATTGTGATACAAGCTGAAATGATTGGCTGAGAGCACAGAAATGGATGATGCTGTTGAGGTAAACTGAAACATTTTGATACTGCTTTATGACACAGATTTATTTTAGACTTAAAACAATAGGCAGAGTTACCTTAATTCTCCCTTTTGTTTCAAATCCCATCTGAGAGCTTAAGTCTTCTTTCTTACCTGTAGCACTTAATTGTTTTCATCTTCTGCTGCTTAACTCTGCAATTGTGGTATTAAAGTCTGCTGAGTGTTTTGGGTGCATCTTATATGTAGGATGCTGTACAAAACCAAGTTGTTAGTATTTGAAGATGTATTGAAACTGTATATTTAAATTGTGTTTTATTTTTTGTTGACTTCAGTTTGCAAGTTGAAATCACTGAGTACACAATCTAGACATGACTTTTTATTTTGCATTAATATTCACCTGTAATTGCATTTGATGCACTGATACCACAAAGACATTCCAGAATAGATAGTTGGATTTAATCTGCGAAGTGATAGAGATACAAGTAAGTTTTATAAAATTGTAGCTTTCTTTGCCATAGGCTTTGCCAAAGTGATGTTGGATTGGTCGTTTGTTTGCCTGTAAACATGGTAGTCGTAGATTTCCTTTCATTTGGGGGGTTATATATCCTGTGAGACACCTGTTGTCTGCAGGATCTGAGTTTGAAACAGTCTTACTTTATTTTTCCTATGCAGATTCATCAGAGTTGTGGCTGGTATGGCACTCTGATTCATGCCTTTCAGCATTTCTGAGCACTTCTGTAAGCAGGACACAACTTCCCCTCTGACTGTATTGCTCTCACATGGTGTAGTCACTAAGCAGCTGTGCCAAATAGACAATTGAGGCTGCATATGGACAATGCATTTCTGCCTAATGGTCTCCTGATTAAAATACTGCCATGAGATGCTAGAAATTGGAGTTCAGTCCTTAGTTGCAGCATGGGTTTCTTCTGTGATTTTCTATTTATTTCTTTTTTTCCCCTCTCATGTACCACATGTTAAAGATAACAATCTATACCCAAGTCATGAGAGTGAAGATAGAATCTTAAATGATTTCATGACCTGGTACCTGTAGATGCAGTACTGATGCATGTCCTAAAATTACTAAAAAAATAAGTCATCAAAACTTTCCTTTTCACTCTTGCCTGGATCCTTCCCACCTCCAAACATCACAATGCTTCTGTTTCTTGAGACACAAAGTATAGGACAGCCCCTTTATTTTTGCTCTTGCTTTCCTTAGTGGAATTTATGAACGGTAGTTCTCTGTTTACTGTTGCAGATGTGACTTTTTCAGTGCTTGGATTAATGTACTTTTGTGATGCTCTCAAGTGGTTATCCGTAGTCAAACTGATTTTGTTTGAGCATGTCACTAGTGAATATCAATTGTATTCAGCAGAATTACTCTAGAAAGGATTAGATAACTAAGTTCAGATATAAAAGAAGGATAGAAGCATTGGCTCATTTCTTTTTATCTCATGGTTAATTCTACCTATTAATCAGAACTGGATACTCGTGTAGACTATATTTAGCTTTGTGGTTTTGCTTTATGCTGTTTGAATCAGATGTACTTGTAGTCTGGACTATTTTGAAGTCAGTCAACAGATCTGAGAGCAAATTGCATAGGCATGAAATAAACTGAGTTACAGAAGAAATATTTTTAATCATTATTTTTTTCAATTTATTCTTCCTTCTCCTCCCTCTTTTTATGTTACAGAAGATTGGGAACTGGATAATATTGAACAGAGGAAAGAAGAAGAGTAAGCTGCTTATGATTCTCATAGTGTCTGCTCCTCTACTGTTTTCAATAATTCTCTGTACAGATGACAGTTTTACTGTCCTGTAGCAAAAACTGTTCTGTATAAATACTGTTTCTTTTTAAAAACCATGAAACATAGTTTAGAAGCTTATTAAGTTGTGCACCTTAGCTGTTAATCATCATTGATCTTGTCCTGAATTTCAGACTGATCTCAGGTGAATGTGTTAATTCACTATTTCACAGCTGTTCTTGATTTGAAGGATGATTTGACTGTTTCCAGTTTGCCTTAAAACAGGAAGGTAAAATGCATTAGTTGTTGTGAATGAGAGGGGATGCATTAAAACATTTAAGGGAAAGTTGTCTCATTCTTGAGCAGTAGAGAACTGTTTTGGGGTTGTTTCCCTATTACGTTTGTTGTATATATACTTTTTTACTTTTCTGCTATTCAATATGTACAAATGAAAAACTGTTGCTGCATTTCAGCTCTTTGTGATTGTAATAATCAATGTTGGTTACATGTTTTTTCAGTTTGCTTTTGTAAGTGAAAAGATTTGTCTTCACCTAAGTTCATTTGCTCTGTTACTCCTGAAAGTATGATAATACAGAATGTGATTCTGACCTACAGAATTACAGAACTGATATTAGAAGGTGGGTTTGTATATGTATTTTGTAAGAGAGAAAGTAAATACACTCCTACATTAAAATGTAATTTAACCACTTGGGTGAAAGTTGGAGAAGTATCAGTCTTAGACCTGGAGTGTTATCTGGGCTCCAGCTATGCCACACTCAGTTCCAGCAAATGAATATAAAGTGAATTAAGTAATGTTCACTCTTGTTTTCCTGCATCTGTTGACCACTCCATCATCACAGCATTTATTCCCCAATAGAATAGAACAGCATATTTTAGTTTGGAAATCACAAGTTTTCCCACTGCATGACAACTGTAGGCAGCCCTGGATAGCTAGGACTGGAGCCCAAACAGCTGAGACAGAAGAGGAAGGCAAGAGGTGCTGTACTGGGCATAAGGCTGGATCCTTTTAGCAATGGGGCATCATCAGACCTGTCACAGAAGCTGGACCAGAGCTATGTAACTGACAAGCTCCAGATGTCTGGGACACACTTTCCCATAAAGAAAAATTCAGAATTTTGGACTTTGTGTTTCATTTTGGTTTTGGGCAAAGTGACTTTTAAAATTCATTAAAAGATAAATATCTGTGCAAAAATAAAAAGCACCGTGTCCCTTGTTACAGCTTTGTAAAACAGCGAGTTTGAGAGCTTTGTGCTGCTCCAGAAAATCTCAGGTTGCACAACCATTTTATGTCATCACTAAAACAAGCTTTAATGGTAATGAAATATAAAGTGTATTCCTATGTCAGCACTTTTCAAAAGGAGTTTGCAAATATGTGCCTTAGAAATGTCAGTTATTGACAGGATTGGTGTCACTGTGTCTTCCCCAAAGAGAGTCACTGGTCACTGGTTTGTGAAAGGTGAAGCATTTCCTAAGATTGTAACATGCAAATGTATTTTCAAAACATTTTCAATAAATGGTGTTATTTGGAAGTGTTTGGATACCTACTGCAAAATCATGGTGCCAGTTGTGAACTGTGGTGTCAAGGAGGGAATTTTTCACTTAGTTGTCTCCCAGATGTACTGTCTGTGAGAAACTGATTTATCCAAAACAGTGAGGGTACAAAAAGACAAACAACTTGGAGTGTAGCTGGAAAGAGCACCTTAGTCTCCCAGCAGTCAGTCCTTATCAGTCCTCTTCCATCTAATCATGCCACACAAAGCAGTGTGCTGCCACAGGGGATCCGTCCTGCATTTGAGCTGACAGAAGCAGCAGTTTACCAAAATGGAAGAAGGCAAACGAGTTTTCTAGCCAAATCCTGGGCTTCCTTATGAGTGGTGCCAGCAGGCCAAGGGAGATGATCCTTCCCCTTTAATCAGTCCTAGTGAGGTCACACACAGAGTGCGGTTCTGAGCTACCCAGCACAAGAGAGACATGGGCAAACTGGAGGGAGCCCAGTGAAAGGCCACTAAGGTGGCTAAAGACCTGGAGCATCCCTCCCGTGGGGAAAGGCTGAGAGTGAACTGACTTCGCCTGGGTTAGAGCTTTTCCTTCATAGCAGGTATTATGGGGGTGTGTTTTGGATTTGTGCTGGAAACAATGTTGGTATCACTCCTGAATTCCTCGGCGGATGTCTAAGCCCTAACTTGCTAGGAAGAAACTGGAGGTTTTGAGCCGTAGCTTGAAAGTAGAGGTTGAGTTCTCTGCAAGAACCTGTGTAAGCAGGAATTGCAGTCCCAGGCTAAAGGAAGTTTTCAGGAAAGGTAGATTTTCAAGGATCACAAAGGCAGGAGCTTGCTGCCCAAAGGGGTGTGGGGGAGATTAAGGGAGGGTCAAGTGTAAGAGCAACAAGTGACTTGCCAACCTGAGCTAACCTCCCCATGGAGCTGGTAGCACCTCCCATTGCAAATGAAAGGTTCTCCCCAAACTCTGTGTGTAGTAGTGACAGTAGGGAGTGTAATTACAACGTATTGGACTTCTGAACCAGCTTGGCTACAGCTGGCAGTGAACAGGAGCTGTGAAAACCTATGTGGGCTTGGCTGAAGCTCATTTCCTGCAACTTCACTGTTTGCATACGTGAGGTGACTAAATTCTGGTGAGAAAGGGAGGAAGGTGGAGCAAGGAGGGAATCAATAATACTGCCTTTGGGAGACCATGTGGCATTCTGCAGCTTTCTGCAGAAACTCACTCACTGCAACATGACAGGGAAGTAAACAAATGATATAATCCTTTCTGTACCTAGGGCTGAATAAGACCTCAACTTGCACACAAGCCAGAGGAGGCTTCTTCACTGGGATGTCTGTGTGAGAGTTGTGGTATGTTTCTGTGCTTCAGCATTTTATCCCACACACTGCTTAGCTCTTCCCTGATAGCACAGTGAATTGGTAGCTGTTAGCTCTCTGCTAGCTTCCAGACAAGCTCTTCCTCTTACCACTTCACCCTGTCCCCACTGTTGACATGGTCAGTGCTTTGTTCAAGAATTTCACACATTTTCCCAATTAGCAGCCTTTATATTTTTGATGCCAGTGAACTTAGTATCTCAGATATTTCTCCCTTTATCAGATTCTCAGTACTGTCTAGATTTTCAGGAATTCAACTGTGTCTGAATTGGTAACTGTAATGTGCTAACAGTGTAAAATGAATTAAGAACTCATCTAAAATAAATCTGAAAAGAATCAATGTAAGTTCTACTATGTAGGTGGTCATATTTTTATAATTCCACTAA